CGGCGCTGACGCGACCAATTTTTAACCGGAAATCGTTAATGTGGCCAATTTTATTTTTTTCTTTCCTTTTCGTCTGGCCGGCGAGGTCGATTTCACCCTTCCACTAAGGCTCGACCCTGACAAGATCCGACAAGGGTGATCCTCAACCTCGCCATCGCTAGGTGAGGTCGGCCTCGCCCTGCCAATGGTGACGGTCGCCAACGATGATGAGATCGAGGCTCGCCTTGCCACTGGCAAGGCTCGACATCGTTGGCCCTTGCCTCTGGTTGGTCCCTAGTCATCGCTGAGGCTGGGCAAACCAGGAGGACCAGCCTAATCAATCAGAACCAGAGCCGCCAGTTCCGCTGGTGGATCGTGCCTAGAGGCTTCAAGAAGTGTACGAAGTTTTCGTATGGTTGATTCGGAGAGCGCACACACCCAACATAGAAGGATGTCTATGTTAGTATTAATTCCTTTAATTTAGAAAACTTGTTTTTGGACTCTCGCTAATATTATTTTTTCTTCAGGGTAATAGAATGACAAAATGCCACCGCGAAGCCAAGTGCAGCGAAAAATAATCTCAATCAAATTGTCCAGTTGATTAAGAAACATCAAGTCCTTATTTTGAATACTGCTCACGAAACGAGGTTCCTCACACAGTTCACGTCACCAATCTCGACAAGTTGAAGATCACCGCGATTGGCGAAATACTCCGACAATAACCGCATGAAGACACTCATTTCATCAACTGTATTCAAAACGAGGACTTGCTGTTGCTTAATCAACTAGACAATTTGATTGAGATTGGTTCGGCTCAACCATGAGGTGGTTGAAGAGTCTTAGGTATGAGAAGTGGTCGAAGCAATGAGAATTCTCTTAGATATGGGGTTCCCCATATAAAATACAAAGGGGTCACATATCTTCCATTGGTCACACACTCCGGTCATGCAGCGGTGACTTGTCATGCAAGGGAAGCCACCATTGCGATTGCATGCTTTTCACCGGTAGAAGAAGAGAAACAACTAATCGTTAATGAAAAAATTGCATGCTAATTAATAAGTTCGATAGAAACCCATTCGACTTTGTTCTTGTGGTTGATGTTGATAGGGCTGAAATGTAAATAGCATATAGTGTAAGAATTTTTTTGTCGTGGGCTACATTAATTGAGATCGATTTGGCAAGTTGCCCTCACCCGAGGCCGAGAAGGGCAGCCCTCGCCTGAGGCCAACAACCTCTGCCGACTGAGGCCTGGCTAACGGAGAAAGGGAAAAAGAGAAAAGAAAACAAAAAGAAAAGAAGGGAAAAGGGAAAAAAAGCAAAAAGAAAAGAGGGAAAAGAAAAAAAAGGAAAATAAATAAATAAATAATTCAAAAATTTATTTAAAAAATTGTTAGCTAATAGATGATTGGACATTGTCATTTAAGAAGATTATTGGTGCAGAAAATTCAACAAATATGTTAATAAAAGTTGTCACCACTGAGAAACTGAGGTTATGCATTGCCTCGGTTGGCCTCCATGGTTAATGATAAGGGGGCCACCGCATTAGGACAATTTGGGTTAAAAAGACGAGTGAAGACTGTGATAAACTCTTGTTGTTTTGAACATCAGCCTCAAAGTGAGAGATTGATGGAGTTGTAGAGTCTAATAGAGAAAAGTAATATTCAAGCAAAACTTTTACTACTAATGGCATATATGTAATTTTTATGTTCAAGTAAATACCAAAGTTTTTTCTCCTACTAATGACATACGTGTAATTTCTATTAAAACTATATGTCCCCTAAACTCCTCCTATATATTGGGGTAAATTTTTTTTGTATTTATTATACTTATACTGATAGTAGAGAGATTACCTAGTATGGCACCGTGATTTTTTCTTTTTGATTTTAAAAGTGTTTTCCATGTAAATATTCGCTTGTTTTATTTTCTATTTTTTCTCTTCAAATTTCGCGTTCCTAACAACCTCATGTTCTTTTGGACGATGGATTTGATTCGTTCTAGTCAATCAAGTCAAGACAGTCACATGCATCTCCATTATACGGCTGTGTGGCCACCCTTCTCACTTGAGAAGGGGGAGGTGGGGAGTTCGAATCCCCACCTTCGCAAGGGGGTAGGGGTGGGGCCGCGTAGTTTGAGATGTGGGTTTCGACGCTCATGCCCTGCAAGAGGTGGGGCGCAAGTCTGAGTGTGTATCGTGAGTGAGAGATAGAGTAGGACCGACAAAAAAAAAAAGAAATGGCAAGAATGGCTCTTTTGGCTTTGTCTCGGTCAATTGCTCATTCCCACGTTGTTCTGAGCGCAACCTGTCGCTATTATTGAAGGATGATTAGCCGATTGCCTTGTGAATTCTGTCTATAAGAAGTCGTCAACAATTACATAATTCGATTCCACTAGTTATTCTCTTTTGCGCCAATACAGAATTCAACGATTACGACATTCAACAAAAGTGAAAAAAGAGAGAGAGAGAGAAAGAAGAATAGGCGTGGGCAGCACATAACCAACCACATGCTAATCTCAGCTAAGACTTTTGGTGTTAATTAGATGGTATTGACTTTTTGATCGTGTCCCTCACAAACTATTGATAAAATAACTCGAAATCCTCTACCCAATCATATCGTCGATGCAACATTCTATTGTTTAATGTCCCAAATTGGGTATAAACAAATTAACGAAAAATTGGGTAATCGGTAATTTTTTTACTGACAATTTTTTTGACATTTATCAATTTTTTCACGAATCCACCAATTTGGAGAAAATTTCATCCTTTATAGAAGGAATGTAGAATTCTCCTCGAGTGATATATTCGCATGATATATTTATTTCTGAAAAAATGTTTTTTACGAAACATACGGTATTATGGACTCAAATGAGAACCATACATAAGGAATTAATTGTGCAATGTTTGTAGCGAGCATATAATTTCCAAGACAAGATGTAGATGCCCTTATACCAAACTGATCACGTGTAATTTCACAAATTGAGATGAAATGAACCGATCACAACATCGCAATATTTTTGCCAAACTATAGTGTAGGGTCCTATTATCCCACTATGCTTTATTTTTATCTACCCCTACACCTTAGACCATGTCTCTTGACCCAAATGTATAAGACTGAGAACAACTTCGATTTCATACTATATCGAAGCTCTTTCTTTATTTGAAAAAAAATGGTCAACCTTTAATTATCTTGGTCAACTAGTTCAAGATATAAGACAGTACAGAAGGCATCAATAGTCAAAAGAGAAAATCTTACAGAAATGGCTGTACAGTTGTTAATCGTGCTGAATAAATTCCCCCTTTTATTAATTTATAATGATACTATTATTAGAAATCCTCCACTATAAATTAAAGTTTGGAACCATCCTCCTTTTAATGTCAACTGCGACTAGAATGTGGCTAGTGCCTAGTGGGAGTAATCTTTTATCCTCGACGTGATGTAGTCTGCATTTGCAAATCGTCATTCCAATTAACTAGGAATTAATATCCATAATGATTCTATTTGATATCTCAGTATTTAGACTCCATGTAATTTCATTTTGTATATCTTTCCACGTTGATATTTATCAACTCGACTTACTGTAGATGGAGAAATGCTAAATGTGCTGAAACTTGTATGCGTCGATGCATGAAATGAATAGTTCTACCGATCAGAAACAAGAAATTCTCAATATCAAAGATAGAGGAGAATTCTTCACGAGCCCCCTCGTCTCACTGTGGAAAGGCGCTCTCATGACCGATTATAGTGCACAAGAATGGATATTAAACTTACTCATTTGCAATATCCTTAAGTTAACAAATCTCATATCTCTTGTTTAAGGGGTGTATATGGCGTTACATATCTCCCTTCAATGTCTCACCTACTGGTTTGAACTCTTGGGTTCTTTAGCATACTTACTTCTGGCCTAAATCAAAAGGGAAAATTGTCCAAAAAGTTCTAAACTTATTGCACTTTGGCCAATTCAGTCATAAACCTTTTGACACTTTGTAAATTAAGTCCATCGGGTCAATTTTAATCGGAAGTTGCTAACATGGATGCCGGTGATGCCACGTAAAACGGCAGGCACTAACATAGACAATTATATAAATATTAAAAAAATATGAAAACAAATTATTTTTTATAATTATTTTTTTTTTCTTTCCTTCTTCCTCTAGCCGGCAAGGTCGACCTCACCCAGCCATTGCTGAGGCTCAACCTAGCCGTTACTGGATAAGGTTGACCTCACCCTGCCACTGAGGCTTGACCCTCACCATATCCGGTGAGCGCGAGCCTCGACCTCACCTAGTGACAATGAGATAAAGGCTCGCCAGAAAGAAGAAGAAGGAAAGAAAAAAGAAAGAAAAGAAAAAGAAAAAAATTATAATATATAAATTGTAAAAAAAAATTATCGATGTCAGTACCGCCCATCCTACATGACACTTGTAACGTCCACGTTTGTGATTTCTGGTTAAAATTAGCCGGGTGGACTCAATTGGTAAAGTGTCAAAATGTTTATAATTCAATTGGCAAAATTAAAAGGTTTAAAACTGTATTGGAAAAAGTGTGATAGGTTTAAGACTTTTTGGACAATTTTCCTTACATTAAAGCTTCCAAAATATGTTCCTGTTGGATTTCGTCCTAACCTTACACTCCTCGGAGAGGCCACAACCTTAGGGAACAAAATGATTTAGAGGAAGAAATGAACGGGCAAAAAGGAACGCGAAGAACAAAAAAAACATAAAAATAAAAATGTTTAAATGCAAATTGCATAAAACAAAACATCCGTTCTAAGAGTCTAAGACATGAAGTGTTCAAACGAGTGACAGCTTCTCCAACACGCGACTCTAGTTACAGCCATGCACGTTCATAGATGATACTATCATCCCCAAATAAAACCTAAGTCCACCCTTGTTCTCACGACTTTCCACACCACACCTCTATATAAATGCCCAAGCCCAACACACTCTCTCCACTTCCATCTCCAACAACACAAAATAAACTTCATATACTCATCGAATTCTCACTTTCCTTTAAGCAATAACGGCTATGACTTCCATTCAAGCCCTAGTTGCTTCCTTCTTCCTAGTTCTTGCCGTATCTGCAACAGCTCAGCCTACGTCATCGTCCCTCCGGGTTGGATTCTATAAATATACATGTCCTTCTGCCGAAGCCATCGTCAGAGACACCGTTTACAAGGCCTTTTCCAGTGATCCGGGGTTGGCAGCTGATTTCGTCCGGATGATTTTCCACGACTGCTTCGTTAGGGTAATATGCTCGATATGAACATATCCATTGAAAGATTTGTGCTTAGTTTTTACTTGGTTATTCATTTTCTTGATTTCTAATAATGTGTCAGTGTATACTCAAATATCAATTAAAATACATAGTTGCCAATTTAACACAGGGATATTCTAGAGATGGTATGGTACACAAAACCAATCTCAGAGTACAAGAAATGCATGAAAACATATGTATTTTTAGTGATGTTTAGTGTAAAATCTTACCTTTCCACGGTTGCTATTTTTACAGTGAAATGAATCTAAAGAATGATTTCTCGATGCACATGCATAGGCAGCAATCCATCACTAAGTTTTGCTTCGTTGCATAGCTTCCTTACTTGAGCAAAGCTAGGTTTACGAAGATTAGTATACAAAATTCGTATATTAAGCCAGAAAGTAGAAGGATTCCAAGTGAAAACTAAAACAAGTGGGTAATAATCATATCTAATTCGAGTCTATCACGTCATGAAGGATATCGTATTATCTGATTTGTTATCTCTTCCCCATTGGTTTTAGGGCTGTGATGCATCCATCCTCCTAAATTCAACCAAGGGAAACATTGCCGAAAGAGATAGCCCAGTGAACAACCCTAGTTTAGAAGGTTTCGATGTCATCGACCAAGTGAAAGCCCGGCTCGAAGCCGCATGCCCACAAACTGTCTCGTGTGCCGACATCATCGCATTTGCAGCCCGAGACAGCGTCTTCAAGGCCGGCGGAATCTACTACGACATCCCCTCGGGCCGTCGTGACGGTCTCATCTCCCACACCTCTGAGGTGACCCAGAACCTTCCTCCCCCGAGCTTCACTGTGCCACAACTCATCGCCAACTTCGCCAGAAAAGGGTTCTCGGTGGACGAGATGGTGACCCTCTCGGGAGCACACTCCATCGGCGTCTCTCACTGCACGTCCTTCTCGAACCGTCTCTATTCGTTCAACGCGACGTACAAGCAAGACCCGTTGTTGGACCCTAAGTATGCGGCCTTCTTGAAGACCAAGTGTCCCCAGAGCAATTCCAAGACGAACCCGACGGTGGCGCTCGACAGCATCACGCCCAACATTCTGGACAACAACTACTATCAACAACTAATGACTTATCGTGGGTTGCTCTCTTCTGATGAGGCACTGTACACTAGCATGTTGACGAAAGGGATGGTGTTGAACAACGCAAAATACGGCTCCGTGTGGGGGGCTAAGTTCGTGAAGGCAATGGTGAAGCTGGGCTCGGTCGACGTGCTCACAGGTATGCAGGGCGAGATTCGGAAAGTTTGCAGCGCCGTGAATTGAGCGTACTAACCATGCTGATGCGTTGCTTTATGCTTTTCTTCGGCAAAAAGAGATCAGCGGTTGCTCTTCATTCCCTGCGCATTATTTGTTTCGATTCTTTCGTATGTCTTTGAGGTTTGGCGAACTTGTGTAGCTTATGTTGTGATGTTTCTTTTCCGGTTCGGTTTGAATTTGTAATGCATGTTTTGCATCCGAAGGGATGCAAATGCTTGAGTGAACTGAAAAATATGGAGCGGAGGAATTTGATTTGAAGGGTGTTCCAAGTGGATTATTTCTTTTAATTTTTCAGCTGGGGTTTCAGCCAAGAAAACAATTCCTGGGGAAACTTAGAAAAGAGAACACATATGCACCTAAGACATTATTTGTTGAAAAACGTGTTCGTTGAATAGAATATGAAAATGCTAAATTGAACGCTTTATGGGAAGCAAGTGAACTTTAACGCTTCAAGAGGTGACCGATGAAATCGATCAACGTGCTTGATAATTAAGGGAAAAACAAAAGCTCGAATTTTCAAAGGGTAAAATTAATTCTTCTGCTTTATACTATCTACGTTTGATCCCTATTAGCATCAACCACAAGAAGAAAGTTGAATGATTTCTATCGAACTTATTTAATTGGCCCGCGATTTTTTTAATTAATGATTAGTTGTTTTTCACGATTGAATAGATAGTCTGCTCTTTGAAATAATTTTATACCTTTGTGTGGTTGATGCTTACTTCATTGGTATGTACGAATTCGGACCTGAGTAGGTCCTTAAAAGGCTCCATCTCGGTCCTCGTCTAGACTTCGCGATAATCGGGATGTAAAACTTCCAAAGAGAGCGCATGAGAAATGGTGGAGACGCCGATTATTATTATATAGTGCGCGTGTAGACGTTCATACTCTTCGTCGATAGGAAAGCATGTGGTCAACCAGGTGGGAGATGCTAATTATAGTGAGATTATCTGCAGATGTAGTCCTAGTTTAAGGGTGAACAAGAATAAATCTTGTGTCTCGATTTCTTTTTCTCACCTTATGCTCTCTATTTCGTTGTGTTTGTGTGCATAATCCTAACAAAGACAATATATATGATTGTTTTGATCAGATCAAAGTGAGGACGAACACATTTGAAAGACTTACATAGTAAGAATTTCAATCAGATTTTTGCAAAATAAGAAAGACTTACATTCGAAAATCAAACGTTACAAAAAACTTTATATTTGGAAAATAACTTAACAATTTAAAAGGACACGTCGAAACAAATAAAGTCAAGCCAAGAATAAATATTAAGGACGAGAAATCACTTTCCCAATCTCCATCCTGCAAAAATCAAAGCTCTCTGGCACGTCCTCAATTCACAACACTACACAGCTTCCTGATCTCTCCTTGATCACCAGTGAGCACGTCGATCGAGCCCATCTTCACCATTGCGTTGGCGAACTTCATGCTCCAACCAAAGCCGTTCTTCACATTGTTCACGACCATCCCCGAAGTTGAGGGACTCGTGTACAACGTCTAGTCTGAAGTCAACAAGCCGCGGAGCTCCAACAACTGAAAGTAGTAGCTGTTGTCCAAAGTGTTGGCTGTGATGCTATCAAGTGGCACGGTCGGGTTTGCCTGGTTCGCATTGCTCGGTGGCGGGCACTTGGTCTTCAAATAAGCGGCATATGCAGGGTCCAAGGAAGGATCTTGGGCGAAGGTGGCGTTGAACGCGTAGAGGCGGCTTGAGAAGGAAGAGCAGTGGGAGACTCCGATCGAGTGCGCTCCTGAGAGGGTCACCATCTCATCCACCGAGAGCCCTTTCCTAGCGAAGTTGGCAATGAGCTGTTGGGCATTGAAGGTTGGCGGCGGGAGGTTCTGTGTAACTTCTGCGAGGCGAGAGACACGGCCATCGCGGCGTCCAGCGGGGACGTTGTAGAATATGTGTCAATCCGATCCCATAAGGTCTCGAACACCGAATCATGGCGGTAACCGCATGTACTCACGCAGCCTTCCATGGTCACGAGTGCTTTCAACTTTACGATATGGATTCAATATGGTAGTGTGTCAAATGGACAATACCTCAAAATGAGTGATACTTTATGTGTTATCCATTTTGTTAGTCCAAATTCTCTCTCCGTTAAGTGTCACAAAACCTAATGTGTCACCGGAGAATATACTTCATGGTTCCAACGAACCTTCATATGTCTTACCTTGATAGTTAACTCGTACTTTATGTGTAACAAGACATATCGTTAAGGCTAATACTAAGAATGCCCCATAGCCCGTACTCAAGGTTTACACAATGCCTCGAGATTTTCATCAAATATGTATACTCAACTTGATAAATCTACATTCACAAATACCTCATTGAATGCAAAAGAGTTGATACATATTCAAATATTACAAAATGTAACAAAATCGGATACAAACTTCATAAGAGCAACATAAAACTAAACAGCCCCACTAATTAACAAGATCACATGATACTCCTAAGCCCATTGTCCTCGGATTTGACCGATATACGCCTAGAAGTCACATTGCAAAAGCAATATCTGGTCTAGTACATACTTGAGCATACATAATACTCCCAAGTGCACTAGCATAAGGTACATTCTTCATTTGGGCTTTCTCAAAATCTGAATGAGGACATTGTGACGTACTCAACTTATCAACCTTCACGACGGAGCAATTCTGGCTTGCATTGTTGCATGTTGAATCTTTCTAAGATACGATCAACATATGCCCTCCGAGATAAGCCCAATAGTCGGCGAAACGATTCCTATGAATCTCAATACCAAGGACAAAAGACGCCTCACCAAGGTCTTTCATATCAAAGTTCTTAGACAACATCCGCTTTGTCTCATGCAAGAAACCAAGGTCACCGCTTGCAATGCGAATATCATCAACATAGAGTATAAGGAAAATGAATTTCCTCCCACCTGACCTTGCGTATATACACCGATCTACTCTATTCTCAACAAAACCAAATGAAGCGACAACACTATGAAACTTCAAGTACCATTGTCTAGAAGCTTGCTTGAGACCATAAATAGACTTTTCAGGTCTACATACAAGCGTACTGAATCATTTGCCGCAAAACCTTCGGGTTGCATCATATAGACTTCTTCATTAAGGTCTCCATTGAGAAATGCGCTTTAACATCCATCGGGTGTAACTCCATATCGAAATGAGCTACCAATGCCATGATCACTCTGAAGAATCTTTTGAAGAGACTCGGAGAAAAAGTTGCTTCATAGTCTACTCCTTCTCTCCGAGTAAAACCCTTGGCTACCGTCGGCTTTAAACTTCTCAATCTTTCCTTTGGAGTCCCTTTTAGTCTTATACACCCATTTGCACCAATGGGTCTATGACCTTCGGGTAATTCAACAAGTTCCCAAACTCCATTATGCTTCATAGACGCATTTCATCTCTCATTGCATCCAACCACAGCCCGACGAGGACAAGAAACAGCTTCCGTATAAGTCACCGGATCGCCTGGGAACCAATATCGTAGTCTTGCTCTCCTATATATACTAAATAGTCCGTGGTATAGCCGATCGTCTCTCCCTAATGGATCTCCTTATCAGATAACAACACATCCCTCATCCTTACTGAGAGCCTTGAGGAACTTCATTAGGAGCTGTCTCGACAACGATCCCGAGTATCTAACAACCTTTATGACCTTTCCCAACCATTTCTCGACTTCAAATCCGAAAAATCTTGAACTTGTCAAGAGACTCGACTTTTCTTTAATCAAGTACAGATAGCCATATCGAGAATAGTCATCAATAAATGTAATGAAATAAAAATTTCTACATAAGGTTGCCGTATAGGGTCCACTTATATCGGTGTGAATGACCTCCAACAGTCGAACTTCCTGACATAGCTTTTCTTCCTTATCTTGGTCATTTTACCTCTACAATAGCGGCACGCATATCTCTAGGTCATCTTTAAGAGCGGTGCGATGTTAGTCTTTATCACCTTTCTACTCTATCCTTAGAGATATGACCAAGCCTTTTATGCCACAATGCATAAGACTGTTCCTTAGGTAGTGGTCTTTTGGAAACAACCTTTTCACCGTATAAGCGACGTATATGTCATTGGGAGACAAACACAATGCATAATCCGTTGGACATATAACACACCCAACCTTATTTGAATTAAGAAACAAAGAAATAACATTGTTCTTGATTTCAAAAGAGTAGCCATACATGTCCAAACACGATACGGAAACTAAGTTCCGTCTAAAAGAAGGTACATAAAAAGTGTCTTTCAACATTAATCTAAAACCGAGTCTAGAATCAAGATTACATCTCCCACAAACACAACATCGCTTTCTTGTTATTTCCCACAGTGAGTCTTGACTCATCCCGATTTGGCTTCCTCCGGTTTATGAATCCTGTATGGTAAACGCAACATGATTAGTTGCACCGCTATCGAGCCACCAAGAACTGGATGGTGCTTCGATAGGTTGGATTCACAAACAAGTGCCAAAGAATCATTACACTGTAGGCTCACGTTTGGACAACCAAGCTTTAAACTTTCCACAGTCCTTCTTTATGTGACCTTTCTTCTTACAAAAGAAGCAAGTGGCCACCATCCCTTTGAAGGATGTTTTCTTTGGACCCATATTGTCGATTGACCGGTAGTTTCATGAGTACCTTTATGAGTACGATTTCCGAACTTCTTATCCTTCTTTTTGTGGGAACCGAAACATATAAGGCTAGATGCCCTTTTTCCTTCTTAAGTTTCTCTTCCTCGCCACCACCCTTGCTATCAAGTCATTCATCGACTGTCTCATCTTGGGAATTATAATTTGTCTTTATAATCCCAAAATCGATGGAAGGGTATTCAAGGCTTGATGCACAATACAAGCATCGGAATGGAAACATTAAGAGCTTGAAGCTTCGTCTTTAGGTCTACCATCCTAAGGACATAATCTCTAACCCCAAGAAGCATCCATCATACTTCATATTGAAGAGCTTTTTGAAGAAGTGTACCAACCTCGATTAGATGAAATGCGGTTTCTAGCCTCTAAG